AATCACAATGATGGAGCTTGTAGGTGGAGATTTGTATTACTGTCCGCAGATTCTTTAACAGTCAAGAAATTGAACACTAAAGTCAAATGACTCTTTATCTATATGGTAAATTAAAAGTGTTAACATGAATGCAAAGCTTAATTATCTCCTTTGTAGGGCAAATGATAGGAATATATCCCCAGTGGGGTGATCAATACATGCTCAGTTTGAAAAACGCATTTGAATTTGCAACCTTGATGCATTAAATGGATGTATTAAACAGTTGCCATATGAGATACTAACAAAAGTGAATTCCTTCATAGAATAGGAGGTTGGGCTAAACGGGTCTTCTAACTGTTATGATCTTATGAACTTTCATAATCCTATGTCAGGATTAAATTATATTCTTGATTTGGGTTGCTTGCTTGCTTGCTTTTTATGCCCAATTCTATACTCTCAGTGGAGAAAACAAATACATTTGAACACAATAGTGATTTTCTAATTACATTGGTATCTTTTGGTAAAAAAAAAAACATATAAACACTCAAAATCCAAAACGTAAAAAGCAAATTCTAGCTTACTTGCCAATTTAGACCATAATAGCTCTCTGCTTTGGGTCATTAAGTAAGATCCATCAATTAGGATGCATTAAAATAAGGTGCTGTTTAAGCTTTTAATCTTATAGTTTGATTTATTCACATGCTGTTTTTTTTTCAAGGTTTTATATTCCAACAGTTTTGACTGGATTATATCAAACAATAAATACAGGTAGTCCTTGACTTACAACAATTCATTTAGTGACCATTCTAAGTTACAATGGCACTGAAAAAGTCACTTATGACCATTATTAACACTTATGAACACTGTAGCATTCCTGTGTCACATGATTTACATGCGGATGCTTGACAACTGGCTTACATTTATGACAATTGCAGTGTCCCAGGGTCATGTGATCTCCTTTTGAGCCTTTCTGACGAGCAAAGTCACTGGGGAAACCAGATTCCCTTAACAGCCATGTTATTAATTTAAGAACTGCAATGATTCACTTAATAAATGTGGCAAGATAAGTCATAAAGTGAGGCAAAACTCACTTAACAAATTTCTCAGTTAATAACATAAGTTGTAGTTGTAAGTTGAGGACTACCTGTACACAGTCTTTAAAGATGATCTCCTACTCAGTGACTTGCAATAATCCAGCTGTGAGGTGACAGGGTAGGAATTAACTACTGTACACAAAGCTCTCTGATCCAGGAATGGGTGCAATTGACATCCCACCTGTAATTTACAAGAAGCAGAAATTGTGAGTCCAATAGGACCCCACAAATTGCAAGTTCGGGTAGCACAACTCCATCCAAAGCTGAAGAAGATTATTCAGGGAGTTTAGTTGGCTTTTGAATCTACACAAATTTGCCAAGGCTCAGTCTGTCCCAATGTCCCATAGCCAATGTGATGACCCAGGGCATGCCACAAAGGCAATACAGTCAGTTAATCAATAAGAATCCCTTTATTAACTCCAACTTTGCCCCCAATGTCCTGGTTACCTTCTGGCTGGAGAAAAACTCTCCCAGGAACAGCCTTTGACTGCAGAGAATCAAGTCCAAAATGTGGTCAACAAAAACTATAAGTCCAATCAAGGCAAAATGAGGTATTTAGTCTGACAGGGCAGGAGCAAGAATTCCAGACATGAAGGCACGACAATAACTCAACATGCCCACAACACAGATAAGCAAAGTCAACACAAGATAAACTCACGTTTGCTCCCAGCAGCTGCCGCACTCAGCATACATTTCTTTTAAACTCTTTTCCCAGATGTGGCTAATGAAGGGAATCAGGGCCCTTTCCTCCCCCATAAGCCATGCAACCCATGTTGCTCTCTTCTCCATTCCTCCCTGTGTGCCCTAGGATGAAGAGGGGGTGGGTCTGGGTCTTTCTCTGAATTCCCTCTCTCTTGTTCTACCTCTCCCCTGCTTTGCTCTGCCCAGCCAGACTTTGCCCTTCCCCAGTTTCCTCCACAGCCAACAGAGCTAGACTCCCACTCCCTGTCAGCTGCTTGTCTTCCTACTCGGATTCAGACTCTGACGGGGGCATGACAGCCAGTGTTCCAATTGGGATTGTTCTGATTTAAAGTCAAAGCAAAACTTATTTCCATCTCAGTTATGAGACATAGCTGTATGCACTGCATCTGCACAAATCACCTCAGATATGAAAAGATGAATAAACATGGGATTTTATTTAACACGTGAATGTGGCTTTCTTGTCTTCATTGCCATACCAAACTGCAAAATAACGATCACCCTAGAATGAATAAGATGATGCAGTGGTTAGAATGCAGAATTGCACGCTAACTCTGCCATCTGCCAGGAGTTCAATCCTGACCAACTCAAGGTTGACTCAGCCTTCCAATCCTTTTGAGGTCGGTAAAATGAGGAGCCAGTTTGTTGGGGGCAATATGTAAACCACTTAGAGAATGCTGCAAAGACGGTGGTATATAATTCTAAATGCTATCGCTATAAGGAAGCCTATAATAATAAGGGAGATTTTGTAAATCCACTGAACACCCAGCCTCATTATGAAAAAACTAGACTTGTTGAGAAAAAAAAACATTAGCAATTTTAAAAAGGAGAAGATGCTACTTCTTTAGAAAAAGACAACGAGGCAACAACTAAAGCAACTGACAATATTGATGACAGATACTTTTTATAGTGAATGGATGTGAAGGAATGAGACATAAAACTGGATGTTCTCTCAGTGACTGAACAGTGATGTAAACTCATGGAAGAAAAGCAATTAGAATCACGTTAATGCAATTGTAAGAACTCACACTGTGACGGTAGAAAGGATCTACTTTTGTAGGGTATTTGTCAAACTGTAAAGGGATTGAAATACAAACTCATTACATTACATCTTGTCGGGAGGGGAGAGGATAACACACATTTTTTTTCATTTTGTGAAGTTTTGATTTTTTTAAAAAATGTTCCTATTAGTTTTTATACATATTTCATAGTTATTGATGAGGGTTAGAAGGATAATAAACTCAAGATGGTAGCCACAACCACAGTATCAAAAACCCACCTTTTAAAATGTGTATTTCATGAAGCACATTAAAAAAAAAAAGAACAAGGCTTCAATTGCCTGCTGTTGTCACTGTTGTGTGTTTTTTTTTAATGCTTCATACACACACACAAACCCAACCAAAGATGCCTCTCAATATAAATCACAGCAGAAAACTTAAAAAGAACGAAAACAAAACAAGTCCCTGGAAGTTAAGAAGGATCAGGAACTAGCAGTCATAAAGCAAAACAGATCAAGAAAAACACAGGTAGCAAATTTTCAGGTATGAAATAAAACAAGCAAAGATTAGACATTCTGTTGCTCTGGCGCCTTAACCTTTCATCCCTCACTCATCATTTTACAGCATCTTCATTTTTTGCTGGATTTGGTTTATGAAGACAGCAGGTAGGGTTTTTTAAAAATAATAATAATAAAAGTAGTGATAATATCAGTAATATTACTGGTTGGTATTCCTCGACTTACAATAGTTCATTTAGTGATGATTCAAAGTTACAACGACCCTGTAAAAAGTGACATGATTATTTTCCACATTTACTGCAGCATCCCCATTGTCACATGATCAAAATTCAGATGCTTGACAACTGACTCAGATTTGTGACGGTTGCAGTGGGGTCCTGGGGTCATGTATACCCCTTTTACAATCTTCTGACAAGCAAAATTAATGGGGAAGCCAGATTACTAACTTACCAACTGCAGTGATCCACTTAACAACTGTGGCACAAACGGTCACAAAATGAGGCAAAATTCACTTAACAAGTGTTACTTAATAATAAAATTTTTGGGTTCAATTATGGTCGTAAGTCGAGAACTACCTGTAGCAATAATGGTGAGATTCAAAATTCTACCCATCCTGCTAATATTTACCTCACATTTCTACCTCACATTTCTCAGTCATCTCTGTGATAGTTCTAATTCTGCTAAAACTTACCCAAATGGAATTTCTGATCAGAGTGACCAAGATTATTTATATTAATTTAAATGTAATAATCAATAATTTAAATTTAATAATTTATTAAACATGTATGCTGCCCTCTCGACAATAAAATGATAGAGATAGACATAGAGATAGATTAGATCTAAATATAGAAATACTACAATATTGTAATACTGTAAATAAAGTGAAGCGTAAGAAAGAAGACTGACAATTCACTGTATTCTTTCCCGCAGTGGTTTAGTTTTATTTAAATCTTTATTTAAGGCAATAAAGATAAATAAATAAAATTTATTTATTCATTCCCTTTATTCAAAGACACTATATGACATCATTGCCAAATTGTCACATTCCCATGTTTTCTGTATTTTTTTTTACCAAGTCTGAATTGTGAGATTGCAATAAACATAACAGTGGCCTCAGAGAGGGATATGAAATTGGGGCTTTTACACCTTTAATTAAAAGGTTCTATTAAAATATGATAAATACCTCTATTTTGTTTTTAAAAAAAGGCACTCATTAAAGTCTGCCTCTCACTTACAGCAAATAGAATCAAGGGAAATATTAAGCTGATGAATAAATAGCCAGAAATTTCATGCAGAAAACTTTCAATACACATCAAAAATGGTACTTATTCAATGAGATTTTCCTCATGCTCATTATCAGAGAAGCTAGAAATACATGGGGTATAATTTAGCTATGTGACCAATTGAAACTTCAGCCCTGGAACTAAATTACTGCCGTAAAATATCCAGGCAATTCTGTGGGGCATTTGTTATAGTGTTGCTCTAATCGTCCTTAGATGTGTAGTTGTTTTAATGGTTGCACTACTTGTATGTTCAGTTTTCATTCTCTACTCATCACCCAGATGCACAATTGTGAAGTGGGTGGGAATATTAATTATATAACTATTTTTCTTTGCACGTAAGTGTGACCGATGTTTCTCATGATTGTAAAATCAAAAAGTTAAATTACCTATTAAATTACGAATACCAGATCTGGGATGCCAAATCTATATACATGGGAGTCCCTTTACCTCAAGACCCTTCCCCATTGCAAAGGGGAACTGTCCAGAGGGTCCCAAATGCCTTTCAGTCTTTTCTCCCATGACTCCACAAACATCTTTGCTGTTGTGATTATTATTTGTAGCTGTCACGATATACTTTGCAACAAAAGAAGTCTGCGCGCTACTTATCCTCACATTTCTGCCTGGATTACGCACCATGGGAGGTGCTGGCGTTGGCATGATGGCTGTTGGAGGGATGGCGTGAGGAAAAGGCGTGAAGGTGTGCTGGTGCGTGTGTTGGTGTGTGTGCTGGTGTTGGTGCTGGTGTTGGTGGAACTCGGTCCTCAGGTAGGGTGGTGGGCCCAGCGAGGCGCCACGATCGGCGCTCTGGGAAGCCAGAAACCGAGTGTTCAGCTCCTGGCGGAGAAGATCTTGCTCTGGAAAGGAAGACAACATCATGAAAGTCTCACCTTTCCTCCTTTAAGACATCTTATGCATCATTCCAATCATCGCCAACTCTGAACAATGTGCATGCCTAGTTCTGTAAGGAAGGCTAAAAATAGACACCAGGATCTTTAAAATAACAGCAAAGGAGAAAGCAACTCACAATTGTACACAAAGGAATAGTATGAGAAACCCAAAGTTTATCCCCCTCCTAAACTATTGAAAAGTCAGGTTTTGATGACCTTCATAAAACCTAGTAAGGTTGAGACCATGTGGATCTCAGTAGGGATCAATGGTGTGATTGAACTGATGTAACAACTGGTTTGGTGATTGCGTGCTTTGCGCGCATGCACACCATTTTAAAAAGCCCATTTTCAGCTATAATGCTTACCTTCTAATGCAGCCCCAGTGAGAAAAACAGCTGAGGCACGGCAAAACTGCTCTGCCGTGCGAATCAGCTGTGCTCCAAAACAAGGAAATAAAGCAGAGGAAAGAGCAAGGCCAGGTGGGCGGGGCCATATGGTCACCAGAACAACCGGTTCGTGTGAACCGGTCTGAACCGGAAGAATCCCACCCCTGGTAGGGATGCTATTTCAAGGTCATCAAAAGACTCCATTTTCTCTGTGTAGGGACCCAGAATAAGGCTCAATCTTATCTTATTGGAAGGGGAAAAACAAGTAACACAGCCAAAACCTGGGCTATCTTCCTTCCATTGATTTCTCCTTATTGCATAGAGGATAATTTAGATATGTGCAAAGTCAGGGACATCCATGGGAGGTTGATGACATCAGAATGTATGACCCAGGCAATCAAAACCCTGAGTCTTTTTACATGTGTGATATATAGGAAGGGAGGGAGGGAGGAAGGGAAGGAAGAAAGGTGGGAAGGAGGGCATAGAGCAAGGAAGGAAAGGGAAAACAGGGAGAGTGGGAGGAAGGAAGGGAGGGAGGGAGGAAGAGTATAGAGCGAGGAAAGAAAAGAAAAACATGAAGGGTGGGACGACTCAAGGTGGCTTACAGGATATAAAACCTCATATAAAAACAATAAAACAAATAAGAGTCATATAATAAATCAATATAATAAAACCACCACCCGCCCCAGCGATAGCACCTCACACGAGCCATTTAATGGGCTCCATCTTGCTCTGGGTTCCCTAGGCCCGCTGGCAGAACCAGGTCTTTAGCGCCTTCCGGAAGAGTATTAGAGAGGGGGCCAGAGAATACTCTGAGGGAATGATGTTCCAGAGAGAGGGAGCCACCACAGAGAATGCCCTTCTTCTGAGTCCCACCAGGTGTATCTCCCTGCGGGGTGGGACCCGCAACATTCCCTGCCTCCCCGCTCTAATGTGTTGGGTAGATGTGACTGGCAAGACACGGTCCCTCAGATAACCTGAGACACCAATACCTTGATTAAAACGAGCGAAGAAATTAGGATTTGACCTGGCAAGTGATGCTTTCTTCCTTACCTGAGTAAGCAGTGCCAGCGGGATGAGCTGGAACTTGTAATGTCCCCGATGTCAGAGGAGGAGGAGGAGGCAATGCCGTGGGAGGGGCAAACATATTGGGGTGATGGGTGTGATTAGAAGGCTGGAGGGCAGGTGTGAAGTTATGAAGGGGGCTGTGATTGGGTAAAGAGAGAGGGAAGGGGGATGCCGAGGGGTGATGAGCTATGGGGGGATGAGGCGGAGGGGGAGGAGGGGGTTGACTTTTGGCTGGGGTGCTGCTTCTGCTGCTGCTGTTTGTGGGGAAAGAGGCAGAAAGGAAGATGTTAGCAAATGCACAGAAAGGAATTATCCAGTAGGGAAGGGCAGACCCACAAGCCCTCCCATTGCCACACAGAGAGAACAGGTCTTCTTCCCAAAATACAGGTAGTCATCGAATTACAACAGTTTGTTTAGTGACTGTTCAAAGTTAGAACGGCATAGTGTGACTTATGTTTCAGACTTACAACCACTGCAGAAAGGTCATGTGATCTAAATTCAGGCAATTGGCAACTGGCTCGTGTTTATGATGGCTGCAGGGTCTTGGGGTCACATAATCACCTTTTGCGACCTTCTGACAAGCAAAATCAATGGGGAAGCCAGATTCACTGAACAACTGCGTTACTAACTGAACAACTGCAGTGATTCACTGTGGCGAGAAAGGACGTAAAAAGGGGCAAAACTCACTTAATTTGGGCTCAATTGTGATCGTAAGTCAAGGACTACACGTATTCTCCACATCAGATCAGAACCTCCTAATCCAGTGATGGAGAACCTATGACCCGCATGTCAAAGATGATATGCCGCAACCTTTGGGGTGATGCGCCAGCATTCACCAATACCTGGCGATAACTACTGTCAAAAGCACGCCGGGTTCTCACACAATTTTCAGAGGCTGTGGAAGGCACATGAGAATGAGGTGTGCTCTCACACGGCCTCCGAAAATTTGGGCAAGAATGGGGCATGATTTTGCAGTTTTTGAAGGTTTCAGAGGCTGTGGAAGAACGTTCTCTGATTTGCTTCAAGGGCGAATGCCTCGTGGGACCCACAACACCCTTGATTAGGCTACAAGGGCCTGTCAACAGAAGGAAAAGACTGAAATTAATCGCCACACAGCAGATCCTGGGGAAGCACTTGGGCTGTGAGGGCAAATTGTGCCATTATCCAAGGCTCACATGGCACAAAGCAGCCTTTTGTGTGTGGCAGCCATGGCACAAGGGTTGAAATAGAGAACTGGGCCTCCACTTCAGGCCCTGTCTTGGCACTGCCACTGAGTACCACTGTTCAGAGTGGGCTAGATTGCGGGTGGGGGGGAGAAGAGATAGAGAATTGTTCCTCTTTTGTTTGGGAGGGGGTGCGACACACCAGCAGCGCCAAGTTAGGCATTTTCCAAATTTTTGACACACCAAATCCAAAGGGTCATCATCATTGGCCTAATCTGTTGTCCACGAAATGTAGCCTGAGGTTCCCTCATCCTACCAGTCTGATGGAAAGCGAGATTTAGAGAGGATTATATTATTTTTATTTATTAAATTTGTTTGCCGCCCATCTCATCACAAGGTGATTCAGATTATGGCTAGACTTCCCCTTTTTGCTAAAATTATCGTTCCAGCCTGGTTGCCTAACAAACCAACATGTTCCTGCTTCCACAAACACCAAGCCATGCACCACATGTTTATAAGCTATAATGGCTAGGTTCAGGTAATAAAGTAAGTTTAGGGACTGACAGACACTTGAGCAGTTTTGAGAGAATGCCATAACTGTTCTCACAAAATGGCTGCCTTGAGGGATAAAATCAGTCCCTAAACACTCATTTACTAGAATGCCAAATTCAGACCTTCCCCAGCAGGCATTTAATTTTCTCACCTTATCTGACTTCTTCTTAGGGAAAAGGGCCATAACTTGTAAAGAAAGCACAAGCCATATCCACCTGCCATTTGATTTCTGAAGGACATTTCTTGGGTCTACACGAAACCCAGATATTTTATTGGAAATATATATGGATAAAGGTTGATACTTGTCCGAGCCACGAGTCAATTTCCCCTTTAGTTATTTTTAATTTTTTTTTTAAGAAATCTGAAATTGAGGAGCGCAAGAAATTGATAGAGGCGATGGAAGATGTTGCTACACATCTCTGGGTTTCATTAGCAGAGGTGTGAGGAATCCAGTCTAATTATTTAGTACTTTATTTTCTTGCCTGATTAATAGTCTCTCCCTAACACTTGACACAGTAAGAGCCTTGCTGTACTTTTAGTCCTTTAAATTGCAGACAACAGTACTGGAAACTGGCACCTCTTTCGTTTTTTGTCTAGTCTCGGTTTCCAGGATTGGCCCAGAGTTTTTGGATTATGGGAGATAATGTTATTTATAATTTGTTGGCTGCTTTCCAACTGTCCTACAGCACTCACCCAAGTAAAGAGCCTGGCCCCTTTTCAAGAAATGCTTGGAAAAAAGCCCAGCGTGATCCTCACCTCAAGCTGTTGAGGCTTAAACTGCTGCTGTTGTAAGTCGACAACTGTTGTGCAAGGCTACGGGAGGGAGGACGCAGCTGAGAAGGTGGTAAGTTTGGATGTGCCGGCTGCCCAGGAGAGGGAGGTCTCGGTGGATGTTGTATTTGGGAAGGAGGAACGGTGGGAAACTGGGCCTCTTCCAAAGCTGGTTGCTTCTCTGGGGCTTCCGAATAGGAGGAGCGAGCAGGGTGGACACCAGCAGGCTCTGGAGAACGTGCCTCCGTTGGTGGCTCCAAACGAGGTGGGGCCAAAGGCTGCGAAACTTGAGGACAAAGATCCTGAGGCACAACAGGGTCAAGCGATGGCTCTTTTCCACCGTCCTGACTCTTCTCTTGGCTCCGTTCTAATCCTGATATTTTGGGGAGAGCCAAAGACCTGGCCTCTTGATCTTCATTTTCTGTTAGCGTAACAACTCCTAAGTCTGTATCTAGAAACAAAAACATCAAACACATTTTTTAAAAGATGGTTGGTACAATAAGGCAAACTACACATACTCTGAAGCTACACTTTAGCATGTTAGGTGAACAAACTAGAGTCTGACTGTGTTGAGTTTATATTTACTGACAAAGAAATAAAGGGAGACTAGTATAGATTTGTTGCGAAAGTGATTGCCTACGAAGGCTCCTGGATTGGGGCTGAAAGGCGAAAGTAGAAACAGTATGCTCTGTCCCATATTTGGGAAGACCAGGTTGCTCTGATATCTATCTATATCTATCTAAATCTATATATCTATATCTATCCGTCTGTCTATCTGTCTATCTGTCTATCTGTCTATCTATCTATCTATCTATCTATCTATCTATCTATCTATCTATCT